TTCCCACCAGACTCGAGCAATGCTCCGAATTCTAACAGTGAGGGAGGAGATTGGATTAGGATAGAAGGCAACGAGGTCGGGTTTTGTCGTATCTTAGCAACAAGCTGACGACAGTACTCGAGCTTCCAATACCACTTACGAGTTTGATTAAGCCCTGGACAACCAACTGACGGATTTGCCCGACTTAAAGACAACAAGAATTGACGGATTTTCCCCGACTTAGGGACAACCCGTGATTTGTGAGTCCAAAAAAGATACCTGGAAGCCTGCCAACTGGTCACAAAAAGCCTCGGGAACTGCGTCTCTAGTACTTCATCGTTCTTGTACCTGAAGAAACGATCGACTCCTCCTGTGTCGTGTGTAGGCTCCGCCTACACTGCTCCAAAGTCACTTTTTTTCGAAATACAAAGGTTGAAATTCATTGCCTGCTAATAATGGTGAAGTTTCAAGTGATGACCTCATGCGAAAATTTGGGATGCACGTTTTCCCATTAATTGCAAGTAGACACAAACGATTATCTGATTTTGTTCGCTTTCTTGCATTGTGAACACCGCAAAAAATATCAGGATGCTAAGGCAAGTAGTGGCGCATAGTGAATTACGCCTCACTGCCCTCAAACGCTTCAATGAGTGCTATCAAATCGCAGCAATCACTGACGAGCTAGCACTCTCCAACAGCTCACCTAAGCCCCCGCCCCAATGCTGCCTTGATAAATCATTCAACAAGCCCCTTTGTTCCGAATGGTTCATTCAGTGGCGACGGAGATGGGCCTTCGAGTAACTTACTGACCTTCACGAGAGTGTTTCTAAGGGAAAGGACCCAAAAAATATCACAGACAATTATTGCGAATCACTTGTAAAAGTTCGTTTGGATAGGAATGGATTAAATCGTCAGTCAACCTCACGCCTCCCTCATCCTTTGACTTGTTCGGGGTTATGAAATCGTTCCGAATATGCCAGTGAACCGGAGGTCTCCGAACTTTGGCTGATTTCGAAAAGATGAATCACTCAAGTCCTTTCGTAGATTAAGCACACTTTGAAAATGATATCTGGCAAGCGCAAACTAGTCAACGTTCACCTGACCACCATCGGCTGTTCTCGCGTAATTCTCGCTACATGTGAACTGAAATACACAGGCAAATTTGACCCCGACAAGTTTCACGCCTCCAAATGAAAGTAGTGATGACCTTTGACTGAGATTCGGGAATGCGCAGCATTTATTTTTGTAGTGCACTACTCATAAGGGTACTGAAACTCCCCCTAAGCAGCCTTATGAGTCGTGCATTACAAAAATATATATGTATCGCGATATCTCGAATATCGTACGAATGAAATTGGGTCCTAGGTGAGTCTCTCAAAAAAACAAATAAGTTTGCAAATGAGTGTATTTCGCTGACTCCGCAGTATTGTTTTGGCGTGAACGAGACAAAGTCACAGTCGGGTGGTTTCAGTACAACTTCAGTTTGCTGTTTGGGATATTCGTTTTGCTTTACTTCAGCTATGATCGAATATTATGCGCAGATTCTGCTTCCGTGAGGTGACAGAGGTTGGGCAACTTTGCATTTTTACATCGCAAAAATGAATATACTCCCCTTGTCTTGTGAATTGTTTCGTGTACGTCACGTTGGACAGATCCGTCTGGTTTATGTGCGATGAGTATGTCCTCATATGGAACTCAGAAGTCAGTTTCTTCTTTACCTTGAGAATTTTTTTAACACTTCTGAAACGTTGCATAGTCTTTGCGACTACGAATTTCATCACCTGAAATGAGTTTATAATGAATTCGACCAGCATTCGAAGAGTGTTCAGCTGGCAGTAGATGAGTTGCGGTTTGTAGGAAGGATGAACTTCTGGTACACTAAGAGTTCTGTGGAAAAAATCAGTACCCCAGTAAAGCTAATGCGTTGATTCACGGTATCTACAAGGCTAATAAGCGAGTAAAAATACGACGAGTGAAGCAGTTGGTTCAGTTGTAAATGTGCAATGACCAATATGACAACTTTTGGGTTCGTCTGAAGGCCCTACTACTGAAATTTCAGTGGTGTTCCACCAAGGTAGCGTACAAGTACACACTACAAGAAAATTTTATCGGTGCGTGGAATTCACCGTCACATACGCAGAGATTTCAGATTACAAAGTCATTAAGTAACTCCTGGCTCCTTGGTGATGCAGCCAATGAATTTATGACGAAGCCATCCTGCTCTGGCGAGTAGGACTTCCTGAGTCATTAACCAACGACAAGTCGGAGGGAATTTCTAACACACTTCTAACCACTTCTATGTAATCCCAGGGAGAATGTCCGTATTCCCCACAGGAAATATGATCCACCATTATTTTCAAAAAAAATAGGTTCACATGCATTTTTACTGCATCAGCCAGTGAGTATCAGATTCGAACAAGCGGTAACGCCAAATTTCACAGAGTTGTGTGCAGTTTGTTCATACACAAAACAGTTTGGTAGCCTTTCTTGATTTGACACGTTTGCTGAGGTAGCGTCAGTAGTCTACACATCCTCTAACTAGATTCTGTTGTTTTGAGAACTAGGGTCTTTCCGCAATCCATACTCTGAGCGTCACCTTTTTGTTTGATTCCCAAGTGCGGAGCCAGCGTGTGCATCCCCAGTGAACTTTGCAAGGGACCGATTCGAGTATATGGATGAAGGCCACAGTATTACTGCTAAATTCAGGAATTACTGAAAACACCTAGGACTCGAAATCAATAAGCACTTGGAAGGATGTAGAATGTGCCCAGAGAACCTTACTCTTTACCGACACACTTCCTTCCATGCCGTTCCTTCTAGTATGCTTAGGTAAAGACCCCATGTATGGCCTTTGGAACAACTGGCGATTAAGTCTTTTGTGATCAAATAATTGTACAGTAAAGAACCCGTGAACCGTTCAATCACTAGACTTTAACATGTACGGACAGTTCCCTCTCTTCACAAGGTCTCTGCCATATACAAGGCCAACCTTTGTGAGCTGAAGAGATTTCTGACTTTAAGGAATTTCAAATCGAAACAAATGTGATTGGTCAGTTTAACCACGACCGAAAACACTGCAT